TTTGCTAATATCAAGCTCCACAATTCCAAATGTAAGTCTTTGGGAAATTCATTTAGCCCAAGCTGAGTTCACTCAGGGTAAGGCTGTCTTTGTTCTGGTTCCCAGCAGCCGCGTTACCAACACCATTTGAATACTGCACTTCTGTAAGAAGCAATCAGGCCATTTCTTTTTCAAATAACTTCGAAAACAGCGAAAGGTTTCACTTTGCCACATTTAGAATCTAACTCTAAAAGTGACATTTCAGTACTGCCTAAAATTATACAGCTTCAGAAGAGAAGCTCTGATGTTCACGGTCACTTTAAAAGCTACAGTTATGAAAAGACATCCTTTTATTCCATCAATAGTTAGGCATAGGAAGAAAATCAAGCTGTTATGACAACACTTATAAAAAGAGAATTCGCAAAACAATAACATTTAAATAAATATAGATCACTGAAGAAAAAACTTTGAGGTACTTGACAAAGTAAAGGAACAAAGTAACAGATTCTTTCTCTGTGCTTTCAGATGGTTTTAGTATTAAAGTTTTTATTGCCAAACCATATTCACAGCACCTTAATTTTAAAAGAGTTAGAGGAGCTGTTTGAATATAAACACAATTCATGAATATTCGATATCATTCCCAAGGCACATATCTATTATTCATACAAATTAATGTTCTTTTTTTCCTTAGGTGCTCTAAAAGTTTATCTGATGTATCAAGAGAGAAAAAGTTTACAATTCTCTCGGTGTCAACAACTTCACCGAGACCTGACAAAACTATCAAGTCTGCTAGCAGACAACTTTACAAACTTTCAGATCTCATTTATTTCCACCTTGAGGCCTGAATGTACACCCACAATTAAAAGTAAAGTTTTCTGTGTGATGTTCAGAGGCATTACATTCTGTTATAAAGCACACACACCTGGAACATTTTGGCTATTTGGGACACAATGTAGTACTGCCAACTCCAAATCTTAAAAAATAATAACACTAATGGCCCAATTGCTATATTAAATAAGTCATTCCTCTCCTTCAAATTAACCTTAAAATGAGATTATATAAAAACAGCATGTGCATGTGTACATGCTATCTGCTTTCTGAGAGTTGTTAAGCCTAGTGGGGTTCAAATTTCCAAGCTTCTCTAAGAAGTCAGGAGGGACAGAAACTTTTTTTAAAAGCTGAGATTCGCGCTAGGAATTGTAAGGACAGGTCTTATAAAATATGTTTTTTGGGACACTCACAACCTTATGGTTACTAGCAGTACGCTTTCAATCGTCTTTCTGTAGGACATGAAGTTTAGAGAGTGTCTAAGAGCTCACGCATTCCTTCTCCACTGAGATGTCTTTCACCCTAACTGATTCAGAGACTAAATAAAAGGGTGGTGATGGTCATTTGCCATGCATGATAGCTGCACCACATAGGTGCTACTGAATTGCTCAATCTAGCAAACCAGGATCTGGCAAAGAAGCAGGTTCAGCGGCAGGACATTGTTAGCAATGCGGGCTAAGAGCTCCTTTAGTAAGATAAACCAAATGTTTAGTAGGAAATGCTGCAAACGCAAACACATTTGATCAGGATTTCTCTAGGAATTGAGTTGAGTGGGTAAAGAAACAGTGCTGTTTTGGGCAGATGGGTTGTACCTTGCAACTCCACAGCTATACCTGCAGCTTTGTTTAAAAATATAAAAAACTGGCATCTTATTTCCAACAGTCTCTGAAGCTTTAGCTGTGAAACCATCTGAGAAAAGTCCTCTGCATTCCCTTCTCCAAGTCTATCATTCCTATCTGTGACATGATTTGCAGCAGCATCTCTCTAAAAGGTGGCATTACAAAACAGATCACTGAAATAATCCAGGCTATCACTCCAAAAAAGCAATGGGAACCACCTATGTTTAGCCCAGATCATTTCAAAAACTTGACTTAGGGAGTGGCTTCATGATCAGCATATCTGGAAGGAGCAAGGAACCCCCCTTCAGAGATGACAGGGAGCCTGAACTTCTGAAGGCAGTTTTGCTGCTGAGGCAGGGCGAACTGCGACACTATCCTCTCAGATCTTTCGGCACATTTCAAAATAGGACTTTGGATCTTTACAAAAGCAACAAACAAGTACAAAAAACCCACTTCTCTATAGTAAAGGAAAAATGCAATTCAAACAATACGCATGATTAAATTAACAGAGCAGCAAGCCCCGTGAGACAATATAATAGACCTGATCTGGCATTAACTGACATTTTTGTCCATAGCAGATCCACCAAGGTTACAACTATCTGGTGATAAAATCCGTGTTACTGCCTGTGCACTCTACGTTAACTGAGCACAACCATTTGAACATGGTTGAAGACCAGCAAAACATTATTTCTTGCTTAAGCTAGAGGTCTGCCGAGGCTTTTCTGTATTTGTTCTGTGTCTACGCATTTTTAACATGATTAGAAAACCAGCATAGTTGCTGTAATCAGCAGATGACTCTTGATAGTTTAGTTATCACAGATTTCTAGTATAAATCAATAGATAAAACTTGCAAAATGGATTTTCTAATCATATTTAGAGCTTGTTACAGTGACTAATGGTTTGCAATATTTCCTGAATTTTTATATCCCCTAGACAAAAGAAGTTTTTAATAAGTTACAAAGTTATTCGTCTTGGAAATGAATGTGTTATGTTTTGTACATGAACCAAGACAATCAAGCCAATCCAGTAAACACACTGCAGAAAATAAGTTACCCCATAATTAAGGCTTGGAAAAAGTCACGACAAGTTGTGTAATAAATGGTATTCATCACTCCCACGTATTCATTATATCCACATAGTTTTTTCCAGTAAAGATAAAAATACAGTTGCTGTTCTACTAACATATTTATCTACACCACACCCTTTCATGTTTGTGAAAAATCATTACTGGCTTGGAAAAGAAGAGCAGAGGAAAGGATGACAGTGCTTACTTCTGAATATCCTTGGTATAACTGTGGCATACTGCATGTGCTTACTGAAAATATTGAAGTACAATAACTTGGTTGTGAGAGATTACAGCTGCAAACAGATACATATGCCATAAAGCGACCTCCTTCCCTATGCGCAGTACGGAAAAATCATCATTTTCCATAACGCCCGTCAAGCTTCTGATCAAAACGTAATGGACAAAGTGTGAAAATATTATAAGAGATGTAGAACCCCTCTAGTCATTTAGTAGGAGAGAACTTTTTTTAAAAAACTAACGTTCCCTGTGTTCACAGTAAGTGCATACTACACGGGCCCTCAGGTGGACAGCACGACTCCTCCCTGCCTAACCTGCGTGGTTTTTGTCCGATCAGGCGCCTGTTCAGTAAACATTTATTCTGTCAATTGCTCAGTCTTGCGCGATTAGCGCTGAAACAGTTAATTTCCCAGCCTACGTGGTGGCGACTGAGATTGCTGTCACTGGCTTACCTTGTACAGTTTCAGGGCTGCCTCGTGCCTGTGATTGGTAGTGTGCAAGCGCAATTTATCCACGCTGTTGGTGTAGTAGTCACAGGCGTTACATTTGAGGTGAACTGGGTTGCCAATGGCAATACACTTCAGCCTCCACTCGTTAGTTTTGCCCCCTTCTTTAATGTGGGCTACCAGTTGATACTTCTGCATGTGTTTGTCAGTCTTGCAGTGGAGCTGGAAGTTCGCTTTGAGCTGAGTGTTGTAGTTACAGAGCTTGCACTGGTAGATGTCTCCAATTACAGCCCTCCACTCCTCTTCGGGGAGCGAGCGTTCGCTGCTCACGTGCAGGCTGAGGGCCTCCAGGCTGTCAGAGGTGAATTTGTTGCAAACAGCACACTGGAATAGCTTCAGCGCTGGGTCACTGATATAAGGTGACAGCTCTCCTGCAGTAAGGAGGGACAGGTCATCACCCATTAGCTGACCACTGGCAAGCCGGATTTCAGGCGGCAGCTCATTATTTACTACAGGAAAAAAAAAAAAAATTAAAAGGGAAAGTACAGCCCAGCAAGCATAGCACACACAAAGGAATCTGTAAAATAAAGCCTTGACAAGGAGTTTGCTTTCTCTAGAGCTTAAACTATAAAAAGCTGTAATAGGATTGAATCAGGATCAATTACAATCATCCCTTTCAACTTCTAAATTCCCTCATCAGATAGCTTTAATTACTCCTACTGGGCATGATGTCATTCTGGAATTTGTATTTTCAAAGGCATGAAAGTTGATCAATAAAATAACAAAACAGCAATGCTTTTGTAACTTAAAAGCCTAGATTAACTTACCCAGTACTAATTGTAGTTTTGTTATATCCTTTAAATGATGCTGGAGGTAGGTCAATATATATATATCTACAATATAGTAATTAGGATAAGCATCTCTATACTAATTTAGCTACTTTTGGTACCAGATCTCAGCACTCCTAGTTTTAAAATACACCCAGTGAACAACACTGGGACAATTTAAGTACGTCAAAAAGGAAACAGTAGAACTGAAGAAAGTTTGAGAACTCTTTTTAGTACGAAACCGTACCATTAGGTAACGGATTGATAGTACGCTGCACACACATGAGCATTTGATTCCAGTTTGCCCTACTCTTACACTCAGAATACAGACCGTTCGCTAACTATAAAGGTGCATTGTCAGGTAAGAAAGAAAAGATTGCATTACTGCCTGAAAATGTTGACCTGTCCAGATAATTAAAAACTGCAGAAAGCAAAGCTGCCTTTATCTTTTCTAGTATGTTAATTTGATAGCACCTCATTACGTAATCAGTTAATTTCATTCTCTACCTGTGGACCCTGCACACAGGGGTAGAGGAGAGGAAAATGGGGTTGCAAGGATGCAGGCACAGCCAGGGGGCTGAAGCAGCACCCGCCGGGGCAGGTGGAGCTCCTTCACCGCCTTCTGCTTGAACCTGCAATGCTCCTGTCCCTCCTGCAGCTATTACCTCGCATACGACTAACTCAGCTTTTACAGGCAAAGCTCGATGCAAGATGACGAGCAAAACGAAATGACAGGTTTTCATCTTCAGCTGGAGCATTGGTCCTTCTAAGTAACAAA